GGTAGCGATAGTCGCATAGTCGGGGGCCGGGAGGTAAAACCTTTTAAATACCCGTGGATGGTATCGGTGGGCATACACGTGGACAATAAGCTCATGGCCTGTGGGGGTGTCCTCATTGGGCGCCAGTACGTGCTGACAGCCGCCCATTGTGTCAAATGGCATAGGCGCACATTTAAGCCCATGGAGCTAGTAGTGAGAGTGGGCGCCCACTACCGGACCCATTATGAGACTATGGCCAGGGATCACAAAGTGGAGTCTGTTACAGTGCACCAAAACTACACTGACACAATCTATGGTTACGATATAGCGCTTATTAAATTGAGAAATAAAGTCAAGTTTAGTCGACGCGTACATCCCATATGTCTGCCCCCGGATAACAGCGACGATTACGAGGGTCGGGTGGCTATGGTGTCGGGTTGGGGTCATACGGCTCAGGGAGGGGTGGATAGCCCTGTACTTATGGAGGTACCGGTACCCGTATGGAAGAACAGAGATTGCTATTATAGTTATATTAATACAACCAAGGTAACCTACAATATGCTATGCGCTGGTTATAAGAAGGGTAGTAGAGATTCGTGTCAGGGCGACTCAGGCGGGCCATTGATGGTAAAGTCTGAGAGTGAGGGTAGGTGGGTGCTCATTGGGGTGGTATCGTGGGGCGAGGGGTGTGCCCGACCAAATTATCCCGGTGTTTACACCAGGGTCAGCGAGTTTATTAAATGGATTCGTGAGGTAATAGCTCAACTAAGCAATACATTGACTAGTTCATCGAGCACGTTTTCAACTGTAACTGATACTACAATCACAACTGAGCATACTACCACCACAACCACTTCTAACCATGTTAATATCACTACAATACCCCCAATCATTACCACCACTGGGGACAACCTTAATGATTGGTGGGATAGTCAGCCATTAGCCAAAATATGTGGTCGTGGATCAGACTCTGGACGTATAGTAGGGGGATGGGAAGCAAAACACGGCACATATCCCTGGATGGTTGGCATAAAACTGAAGGGCAGTTCGCGTATGTTTTGTGGCGGAACCCTAATCGCCGGGCAGTACGTACTGACAGCAGCCCATTGTTTCAGGAAAGACAGAAAGTGGACTGAAAACGCTGGTGACATAGCCGTAAGGGTGGGCGCCCAAGACCTACGAGCCAATGAATCAGAGGCCAGGGATCACGGAGTGGTGTCCATACGGATACCCAGAAACTACATAGAAGTCTCCAAAGGCTACGATATAGCGGTACTTAAACTGAGAAATAAAGTCAAGTTTAGCCGACGCGTACACCCCATATGTCTGCCCCCGGGTAACAGTGCCGACGACTACGCGGGTGCGGTGGCTGTGCTGACTGGTTGGGGCGACACGACTGAGGGCGGGGTGACTAGCCCTGTGTTGCTAGAGGTGCCCGTCCAGGTGTGGGATAACAGTGCGTGCGATAAGAGTCTGGAGGGGTTTGACGTGATATCGAGTATGATATGCGCCGGTGATAGGGCTGGCGGTAAGGATAGTTGTCAGGGAGACTCCGGTGGGTCGTTGATGTTGAGGTCTGGAAGTGATGGTAGGTGGGTGCTTATTGGGATCGTGTCAACGGGCCAGGGATGTGCTCGACCTAATAAACCTGGTGTTAATACACGAGTCAGTGATTATGTCCACTGGATTCACAAACAAATGCGTTATTGAATTGATATTAAATTGTAAACAATATTTATTTTATGCTTGTTTTTGGAAATTAATGTAAAGTTTTTATTTAATTCATATTTATTGTATTTGGTAGTCATATTAAAACTCATAATTAAATTAATTAAAATAATTAAAATTGTAACATGAAATATTAATAAATTTATTTGTTTTAATATTGGTGTGAAAAACCACTACTATACATTTTACATTTATGAATATTTTGAATTACATTTTAAGAATAAATAATTCTTTATAATTATTAAATTAATATCTGATAGACCAATATGAGATGAGTCTCTGAAAAAATGCTTTTATTTCTTATTTAAACATTGCTTTTCTGTTTTCAAATTTATCAAGTTTAATATAAGCAGTTTACAGAAAAGCAATGTTTAAATAAGAAATAAAAGCATTTTTTCAGAGACTCATCTCATATTGGTCTATCAGATATAATAAAAATTAATCTTCGTATTTTTCTTAAAGTGAGTATTTTTATATTAAACAAAAATATATTAAATAGTACATATTATAATTAATGTTATAAATGGCACAGCTATTAGGTTCAACTAGGCACTACAGTATTCAAAAGTTATTTATTTCTCTGTTTTGACACACATTCTCCAATATTTTTAAAATCAAAAATCAAATTAGATGTGTACATGTTACAACTATACAAATTACAGCTTACTTTATAATTTCACATAAAGTAATTTCTTAATTTTTAAAAATACAATTTTATTAATATTAATTTTGTGACAAATTACCGGTGTCTCCATAATTAGCAAGCAATTTTTAAAAATGGATATGTTTTACTCATACATCCTATTACCTATAAGGCTCTAAAACTACTAATTTATAGTCAGTCAGTATTCTCTATTTAATTAATAAAACATTTTAAATAGTTTGTTAACAACAATTAATGACAACATGTCAAATCTCACACTAACCATGCTAATAATTTACATCATAATTAACGTTCTTATGATTACCACCACACCTACCGGTGCTCAAAAATTTAATATTTACGATGCAATGAACACTCGCCTACAAAACATTATCCAAACACTCAGCAAGAGATCAACTACACCCCAGCCCCCTATCACCAAACCATTTGACACCAAAAGCAATGATAATAACTATTTACATAATGCTGACCCGGCTAAATCTACACCATCTATACTCCCACCATCCCCCAAAAGTAGCCTAAACGGGGGCCGGTGTGGCGTAGCCCATACCAGACGTATAATGGGCGGAGGGTTTGCCACCCCGCGCCAGTACCCCTGGATGGCCGCCATTTTACTGCCCAACAAGACTACGCCCGACTGCGGGGGTGCTCTCATCGGCGACCGATACGTGTTAACCGCCGCCCACTGTCTGCACCGAGCGTTCGGCGATAGCCTCGCCGCCGGCGACCTAACCGTACGGTTGGGTGCGTTTGACTTTGGCGTTGATCGGGAACACCACGCGGACGACTACCCCGTAGCTAACTATACTGTCCACGACGGGTACGACACGGTTATGCTGGAAAATGACTTGGCTATCATCAAGTTAAGTAGCAAGGTGAACTACACGCCTACTGTACACCCTATATGTCTGCCACCAAAGGACGTGGAAAGAGATGACTACACGCACCGGCATATATGGGTAGCCGGTTGGGGGAGGACTAGCTTTAAAGGCGCTCAGAGCACTCGTATGAAGCACGTGGAGCTCCCGGTGTGGCTGAACGACAGGTGCGATGAGGCGTTGTATGATTTTGACGCAAAGAGCAAGGTGTTTTGCACGGGTCATGACCAGGGGGGTATGGATGCGTGTCAGGTAATAATAAAATACAAAGTTTTATATAAATTTATAATACATTTAAAACATTTAATCATTCATAGGGCGACTCAGGGGGTCCGCTAATGTTGAGGGATGAGGGGGACAGGAGGTGGCGGTTAGTGGGAGTTGTGTCGTTTGGAAATGAGTGCGGACTGCCTAATAATCCCGGTGTTAATACTAGGGTCACTGAGTATCTGGATTGGATCAGCGAGCATACTATGGATTAGTTTATTTGGTATAGATTAATTGGTAATTTTAAAAATTATTTTACTTTTAAATATTAATATTTACGTATATTATGTTAATTGGAAATAAAAATGAATTATTAATTAATTAATTAAAATATTTTAACTATTTTAATTACAACAACAACAAAGTTTAAGTTAAAATAAGTTAACTTATAATGTACTTGCTTAATTTAGAAATAAAGTTTGATAAGAATAGATATTTATAGTAATATAAAATATTTTAGTATAAACTGTAATATATATAAACTAAAAACATATTAAACTTATAATAAGATCACACCCTTTTCAATTAGGTTCAATGAGTGTTAAATTTTTAACTTTTAATTTTGTTTTAAAGTAGAATACTGTAAATTAATCAAATGATTATAATTTTTAGTTATAAACACAAAATTAATGATTTTAAATGGAGTTTTTAATAACAATTTTTTATTTTAAAATACTTGTGCATTTTAATCATAATTGATACTGGTGTTGATTTGGTAAGTTTTTAGTTTAAACATTTAAAAATAACATTCTTGGTGTGAATGCTATTACACCTTTGTAATTACATTGTCGTTAAGAATTATATTTTAGTTTTAGATAATATCTATTTTTAAGACTGTAACTTACTAAAATAATAATGAATTTCTGTTATAAACTTTAATTATTATATCATGTTGGATATAATTGGCATCATATTTTGTATAAATTTTTTGAATGTTTAATGATTAAATAAGTTATGCAAGTATTTTGAGTTATTTTTGTTTTGAACTTTCTGTGATGGCATGTATGGGGTGAAGGCTACTCCCTGGCCATCGCACAGGGATTGAAATGTTGTCAAACTATTGTGAAAACACTACTAGGAATTGCATTTACATTTGACAAGAATTTTATTATAATAAATACAATGGTCACAGAATAATCTGTATATCATTCTTGAGATGAATAAGTGATTTGAGAAATTGAGTCCACAATACGAGAGAGAGAGAGAGAGAGAGAGAGTTTTTTATTTTAAAATACTTGTGCATTTTAATCATAATTGATACTGGTGTTGATTTGGTAAGTTTTTAGTTTAAACATTTAAAAATAACATTCTTGGTGTGAATGCTATTACACCTTTCTAATTACATTGTCGTTAAGAATTATATTTTGGTTCTAGATAATATCTATTTTTAAGACTGTAACTTGCTAAAATAATAATGAATTTCTGTTATAAAGTTTAATTATTATATCATGTTGGAATAAACTGGACTCATTTTTTGAATAAAATTTTGCATGTTCAATGATTAAATAAGTTATGCAAGTATTTTGAGTTATATTTGTTTTGAACTTTCTGTGATGGCATGTGTGGGGTGAAGGCTACTCCCTGGCCATCGCACAGGGATTGAAATGTTGTCAAGCTATTGTGAAAACACTCATAGGAATTGCATTTACATTTGACAAGAATTTTATTATAATAAATACAATGGTCACAGAATATTCTGTATATCATTCTTGAGATGAATAAGTGATTTGAGGAATTGAGTCCACAATACGAGAGAGAGAGAGAGAGAGAGAGAGAGAGAGACGTAAGAAAGAGAGCAATGATTTCAATGATTTGATGGGATGTCTATGCGATCGTAAAACTGATATCCGATTCATGTATTCAATGATAAATAATGGGCATTAAAGCATTAAATCATTTTTCAAACATTTTATAAATATATTTTCCACTCATTTATTACACTCAATAGGATTCTATCGGCAATTGAAATGCGAATTCTGTGCAGAATATTCCGGGGGAATGTGATATACAAGTGATAGCTAATGGAAATAAATAATATATATGTATTGAGAATGCATGATAAATAGACAGCTATTGTGTATTAGTTATATCATACATAAGCGATAGGAACGACCTTTTATATTGATAAGCACTGAATATGGACTACACATACCTTCCCCACCGATAATAGATAATAGGCTTTGATTTTCAACTATAGATAAAGAATACGTAAAAATATTTTGCTTTTCGATGATAATGTCGATAAACTCAACGAAAATGAAATGAGATTTTAATCAAAATTCACAGACAATTCAATTTCGTATAAAAGAGACACAAAAATAATGTTATTTGTCTGAAAATATGTTGTTTTTGAGTGAACAGGTATTAACATTAATATCATTTGGATTTCTGATCGAAAAACAAAAATATTTTACGAAAAAGTAATTATTTTAACATTGAGTTCAATAACCACTATAAAACATAAAATCATAAATTATTAAAAACTTTTTCAAAAATTAAAATTTTGTTTTACATTTAGTTCATTAAATATTTCCAAACAAAAAAAAGTGTTAATATAAAACTAACTTTAAAATAAAATACATAATACAGAACTAGATTATAATTATACACAAGTGTCAATAATTTTAACATTTAATTTATTAAATATTTTACAACAAAAATTATAAGACATTAATTACTTTTTCAAATACCTATTATTACATTTTAGTATTACTTACTCTAAACATAACTAAATAAATAAATAACCAACAATGACCCAGCTCATTTACATATTCCTTTTAATCCAATCGGAATACTTGGAAACCCTTGTATAAACTCCGGGGATATTAGGCTTTCCACATCCGTCACCAAACGATA